TGTACATATTTAGGTTTAACGTTTAAAGCATGTTAGCCTCATTTGCATGACTTAACCTAATCACATAATCGGACTAAGAGTAAAACTCTTTTAATGTAAAACTGTCGGAATGTCTTCTCCTAACTTACTAGAGAGTTGTTTTGGCGATTTTAAAATTAAAATTGTATCCCGTCAGTAACGCCTAATTAAATTTAGATCTATCACTGTAAAATTTGGGAACGAAAGAAAAGGAAATATTCGACTATTTAAATTTTTCGAGAAAAGGTCGTAAGAACTGAACTAAAGATCTGGTCTCGATATTTTTAAATAATCGAATATTCTTTATCTTTCTAATGGCTTGGTAATCCTAATTTAATTTATTTTGTTGCTTTTGAATATCATAAATATCGCATTTTGTTGTTTTAAGGGATCGTAAACCAAGTTAAATTCGAATATGTAAATTTTGTTGCAAAGACATTAATTAATCGACTAGGTACCGATTTAGGGTGCTGTGGGGGTGTCAATCCTTCCCCACGCGTAACCGACTCCCGAACCCAGATTTTGGTAACGTAGACCGTAAATTTTTCGTTTTAATTAAATTAATTTTTATTTAAAATGACAAGGTTTTTTGGTGCCCAATCACACCCTATTCAAAGATTGGTGGCGACTCTTCGTACCGTATTGTTTTTTTATCGTAAAGGAATTTCCAAATTTTCGAAACGAGAGATTTTCTAAAATCACATTGTTCTTAATTAAAGATCAATCAATTAAGAGGAAATAAAAAATGATGCGGTTTTCAAAGTCTCACCACGTTAAAAATCGTTTCGACACATTCTTTACCAACTTCTATTTCAAATACAAGAGCATGCAGTGCGAACCTAATGGTTCAGCGGTGGCTCTGACCTAATAATTCATACATTTTTATTAGGTCAAAGTGCTTCAGCTTCAAAGAATGTGTGAAGATTTCTATCTTGGCTATGCCTTCAATGTTAAACAAATTTTATCGATACATACATCGTTGTATAGAATATGTTTTTTTCCATTTAAAAAAAAGTGTTCTATCATTTCAGTCGACGCTCCCCCTCCCAAAAAAAAAAAAAGATTTTCCCTTTTTTATTTTATTTTCACGTTGAAATTCTAAAATTTATTATTGGTTAAAGCTTAGAATGCTCTTTATTCTCTTCATCAAGGTATTTTTCTACCTTATCTTTCGTATGTAAAAAGTTCATTAAACATGGGGTTTGGTTTTGCTTTATTAGGGTGCTACAATTAAGCATCATTGTTTTCCAAAAAAGGATGCCTTGTTTTTTGTCAACCGTTGCACTAACTGTTGATTATATTGAAAAAGTATATAATTATCTCTTAATTATAATTTAGAAAGTGATTATTTTAAGAAAATTAATGTATTAGTTGTTCTTATTTGAGGGTTCTAGTTTTATTACTGTGTGGTATGGGGAAGAAAAAGGCTAGCATGCCCCGATAGGAGCTACGTTGCCCAGCCCATGCTAGACGAACCATGGTCCCATTAAGCCCACACCCAGATGCCACCACCCGCTCATTCTATGTTTTTCTTAGCTAATATTATGTTTGGTTGCCAAAAAAAATAAAGCTAAAAATGAGTAAAATGATTGCTCCATTAGAGAGACTTTCTTCACTCATTTCACAATCATTTTTTCTTTTTTACAAAAATATGTCTCATTATGCATTAAATATTTTAAATTAATATTAAGCGATAAAAGCTTTCTTCATCGTCTTTGTTTCTTTTTCATCTCCTTTCATTTATCAAATATCAAATATGCATAATCCAATATCACAATCTGAACTTGAACTAAATAACCTCTTGAACTTGTTTCCTTCTTCGCTACTACTTTTCAACAACAACAACAACGCCATGTCCGAGTTGCTACAATTATTAGTATCAAAGCTTGAGATCGAGACAACTCCTTGTTGATCACCATTGTTATATTTATCTTCATGACTATATCGTGAAGAAAAAACCTTATTAAGGGTTCTCCAATCAGTCACTTTCTAGGTGGTGGTGGTGTTGCATATTTTTTCTAATCATCTTCTTCTTCGTAGGTATTATTATTAGTATTATTCTCTGATATGATAGGTATCGAGCTTAGCTTATTTATTAATGGAAGAGAAGGGCTCTAACTGAGGAAGCTCTATAAACTAATCAGAGTAAATAAAATTTTTCAAATTATCTGCCTCTGTCGTCTTTTGCTTGCACAAAGATATTTGTAAAAGTTTACAAATTACAGGAGCCAACTCCAAGTCGTTGAAAATCGTTGTTGGTCTCTCACGTACCCGAAAATCAGTTAAAACCAACTAACAAGTTTTCTAAGGAAGAGCATGGGGCATGCGGAGCTGATAAGCACCACTGATAATGGCGGTGACAAAAAGGAAGAGAAGAAAGATGGGCTAAATTCGGAGCCACCACAATACTCTATACCGATATTATTACCAAGCATTGCCATGGAATAAGAACAAACAATCCCAAGAGCTAGTCCCCTGCCTAAATTTAATTCAAATGATGGTCAACAAGAAGTCAAATGGGCGGTCTCGTGTGGCATATTAGTTTCTAAATTAACTAGTTAATGTGTCATATCATCTTTCCATTACCCACTGTAACGGCTTTAATGTCAAGTATTATAAATCAATAACGGTTAATTTCTAACTTTTGAAAGTTCAATAAGGTAAAACGATAATTTATTTAAATTTTAGTGACCATTTGTCTAGTTTATCTTTTACATTTCTCCATTTTATCATGTATATACACCTTTTTATTCACTTCAATTTAATTGATATTTTAACTTTATGCGCTTTACATTTTGTCCTTTTAGTTATTGTCTTATTAACTTTCCCCTCTTAGATTTGCAGCCTTTATATTTTGATCCATGTTCATAAGCATTTTATTTATTTTTAATTGTGGCATGTTGATTTTCGTTTGCTCCGTTTGGATCCATATGTCATATGTTTTATAATACATATAATTATATATTTATATTAAATATAACTTGTATATTTTAAACGTATATTATATAACTTATATATTTTTTTGGTATAATATCGGTATCCGATCTATTGAGTGACTAATCCGAATCGGGTATTACAGAGGCAATGATGAATATGATAATCTTATCATTTTTTAATACATATATATTATAGTTTTTAACTTAGGTTACTAGCTATTGCTATAGTTAAATTGTATATTTCTAAATATTATATGTATATTATCATGTCACCTATATATGTATATTCATATAATTTTCTAATAGTTTAAAAATAATACCTTTTGACCGATTGATTGGTAGAAAAATATTTTAAATCATAGTAAATTTTCGTAAGAATATTCTAACGAATTATTTTAATTATATATTTCAAAATAAATGATTTTTTCTAATTACAATATATATTAAGTCATGTATTCTTTTCTATTCATGTCTTTATTCGATATTTTGATGCATTCATATTTGAATTATATTTACTTTTATTTCCACAAATAGAAAGGTAACATGGTCTTATTAGAAAATTGATGGGATATATTTTTATGATTTTTGGAAATAAAAGGACGTCCTCCTAAAATCTGAGTGATACTCGTTTTTAAAATTAATCGATTTCCTAAAATTTAATCAATTAAAATAAATAAAAATACAAATAAAATATTATATTTTAAATCTTTTAAATTGAAAATTATACTATTGTGTCGACATATAATGGACTAGACTTTGATTCATTTACCTTTACAAAATAACCACGTATTTATATTTATATATATATATATATATATATATATATATATATATAATATAAATAAAAATAATCACGTACAATTTGATTAATTTATTTTATTTTTATTTATATTATATATATAAAAAATTCGTTTAATAATTTTGGGTGTCCTATACTGACTCCGTCAGTGCTTACATACGACCTTTATTGTCCTTGGTAAGTAATCTCAAATCAATAATTCGGTATTATGGACCTTACAAAGCGATACAATGAATTGGGTTAGTAGTTTATTGCATGAAATGACCAAAATATTAAAAGAAAAAAATACAGCATGTTTTTCATATGAGTTTGCTTAACAAGAAGGTAAGTAAGAAGTTAATTATATTGATAGATCTTCCAAAATTGGGAAGTGATGGTCAAGTATGAGTGTAGCCTACTGTCATGCTTGATAAGAGAATGGTAAAACGTTGTCCATGGGATGGTAACAGGGCGGGGAAGTTAATTATATTCGTCCTTATACTTACATAATGTTTTTATATTTTTATATTTACCACCTAACTACGACGAGTAAAATTTTTAAATTCATACTTGTTCACATGAATACAATCTCAAATCCTCCCTCACACACTATCCAACTAGATATCTACAACCCATATCGTACCCGTCTACACTAATCCACACCTGCCTGGAAACAACCTCACGGATTACATAAGTAACAAAATATAAGACGAAAACATCCACCAAGAAGTATAATAAAATAAACCAAGAATTAATTGAGTATATACCCTAACATTTCGTTAAATTACAAGTCATGTCCTATAAAATCTTAAGATTTATAGAATATTCTTTGAAATTATACTTAAATTCATAATGATCCAAAATTTATATGGTAAATAATTAGTGAGTGGGCGGATGTGGGACGGTCGGATGCGGAGCGTGTAAGGATTTAAACCCATCACCTACCCACTACCTACGACGAATATGACTTTTTACATTCTCACCCGCCCACTACCCACTAAACTTATATCCACCTCTGTCCCAATTAGAGCGACTGCGGTGTAAAATCCAAGAAATTATACTCGTCTGTCATTCCTAGTGGTTCAAAAACACAATGCGTTTTTTTTAAATCCAATTTAATAATTATAATTTCAAAAAGTTATTTTCATAGACTATAATGTTTCAATAGCATTTATTTAGATGAAAAAGAATATTTAAGTTATAAGATATGTTAACTTGTTTTCTTATAGAAATGAAACCAAAGTCTTTGAACAGCTATGTTTCCTTAATCAAAGTCTTGTCTTAAACAATACATGATAAACAAACAAAACTATAATCTAAATCCAAATATCTAATGATATGTAAGAAGCAATCTAGATTTATGTTTGAATCATAAATAAGAGCGTTTTTCTGAAATTGGATTTATATTCTGAAATCTTGAAGATCAATCTTCAGCTCCAACTAAGACCATTGAGATCAAACTGTTTGCAGCTTGAAGATCCTAGGTTATGTTCTTCGTCAACATTTAAATCCAGCTTTGTCGCAAAGTATGGCAATCTATTAACTGAATCCACCCTTTCGTTTCTTCCGAATTTTCCCTCGGAAAAACTTCCTTGTAATCCCACACTCATCGATAAATCGCCGCAGTTCCTGTCTGCAAAAAACTCGTTGTCGATCATTTTTCTTTCCGATGATTTCTGTTGCACCAATGGATCTTTGTGACTAGTAGTGTAACTTCTTAAACACATTCCATTGTTTTCGTGTAGTTCTTGATCCTTTAGTGACCCTTCACAAGATACCAAACAACTATTCGCCGAGCAATCGTTGGCAGGAGTCGGTTGTGTTGATTGACGGTATAAACCTTGTAACTCTTTCAAATCCGAGAACGCCGAGTTGAGGCATTGGTTCGATACTTTTGACACCAGCTCCGAAAGCTGAACTTTGGCCGCTTCCAGCCCCACGGTGCCCAAATTCTGTCTATGGAGAGTCTCTTGAGCTTTCTCCAGCACCGACTGTAAGTACTTCCCTTGGGCCTCGATACGAAGCTGTAAGTGTCGCTGTACCTCGAGTTGCTCATGCAACCTTCTCTGCACTTCGATTTGCATTTGCAGCGCTTCCCCGATTTGTATTCCTCTGGGTTGATGAACATCAAATTCAATATATATACATATACGTATAGGATGAAAATTTAACAAAGGAGATTTATCATCTTACTTGTTAACCTGAGGTCCAATACTTAATTTATTCATGGGGGAGCTGTTTACTTCATATATTCTTTCGCCTGCCATTGTAACTGCACCTATTTTGTTGCAGCCATTATTAGTTTGTCCGTTGAGAGTTTTACTAAGCCTGTATTTCTGGAGCCAAAAGGAGAGATATCAGATATAATAATCATCGAAAATTCAATATTTTCGAACTCGTCTGTTATAAGCATTGGAAACGATAAGAAGATATAAAAAATTCGATATCTTGGGATGATGTTTGATAAATTACCTGAAGATGACTTTTGAGATGGTATAGGGTCAGGCCTGGAATTCCCATTAGTTTCATCACTGTTTTTGGTGTGGCCTCTGCAATAAATACAGAGAAAATAAGTAGTATACAATTATCAGAGTTTATATATATGCATATGGTTTACTCAGGTAACTGGTTGATGTACAACTCACTGTCGGCTCCTCCAAGCTGGTTAACGGCTTCGATGAATCGCTCATGAAGATCAGTTGTCCATTTCAGTCTTGGCTTGGCATCGGTCGAAAGTACGAGACCGGAATCTCCATGGCCACCTTGCAGGAACAAATGCCTCTCATTATGAATACCCATTCTCGGTTTAATGTTCTTCCCTTGGTGAGCCCCAAGCATGGTTTTATAAAGAAACATAGAATAGAATCTGGGACTGAAACTGATGGAACAACCTCTCCCGATCCAATATTCACACTCACTCAATAAAGTGATATTGTCCCGCCTACTTTCTCCATATACATTTATTACATCCATAATTATGATATGGGTTTAAATAGTGGTCTGCTAGTGGAGTAGCGAGTATTATAGGTTTCAAATCGCGGTTGTGGTCGTGTTTTTTGTCATTTCGTGTTTACCGTGATTTCGGCCATAGCGGGCGCTATTACGGCTATCGCGGGCGCTATTGGACGCTATTGCGGGTGTAACGGGTAATTCGGACGGTGGCGCTACCGCTATTTTACACGCGCTATCACGTTTTCGGACCACAATTTGAAGCACTGGCTATTATATAGTGGTAATTAAAGATACGGTTTGAAATCATTTTTGTACAAACACGATAGTCGTAATAATCACAATAACACTCACTATTGTCGCAATTACTGAAATGCAGTGCAAGGAATAACTCGAAAGAAGCAACCTTTCCTGGAAACTATATCATTAGAATTAATTAGGCACTGGAATTTTGTTTTATTTCTATCGGTGAGAATCCTTGATATTCGCCCCTAGGGGCAAAAGCCAAGAATCTTATTCCACGTATTTAATAGAGTTTTGAAGGAATTTTTAGACTTGGGTTAAAGGAATCCATTATCTATCAGAAAAAGCCTCCCATGCTCTCTCAACTTCAACCAAGATTCCTACCACTCTTATGCTCTTCACCTTGTTATGTTATCCAACTCCCTATTTACCTTAGACATCAAATTTGAAGTTCTCGTAACACTATATTTCTTTTTACTCAAGGATGCTTTGGGCAGATGCTCTTAGAGATTGTTTGGAAGCAAGGAATTCATTCCATTTTGCCTCCTTCATTATGTTTGGTACTTATTCATGCCTTTACAGTATTTGTTTACAAAGTAGAACGGGGGACCAAAGTCTCTTCAATTTGCCTCTTCCAACATGTTATCAAATTTTTAGGGTTCAAACATTACTAATAAGTTCCCATTGTGATTATAATCCATGTAATTTTCTTTTTAATACCTTGGGTTGATTATAATATAGTATTTATTCAGAATATTTTTTTATTATTGACAATGTACATATTCTACAAATAGTCCAATCCATGTATGAATCTTTATTGTTCTTGATCTTTCTGTACTTGATTAGATTATTTATATTAATTAAGTTATTCGTAGAAAAGGTTTCTTAAACAGAAATGGCAGCTTAAATAAATGTAAAATATACATGCAAATTCTTCTATTTCCCCATTGCATGAATATGCACGTAGAAAACATGAGCTAAATATATGCCTTATATATACTCATGCATGCAATCAGGTTTCAAATCATCATTTGAAACTTGAGAAATTAATACCGTAGAAGAATTTTTATAAGTTTGAATTATTTGAATAATTTTTCTTTTCAATATTTGTGTTTTGCTGCCTAAGTGATTATCCTGGAATGACTTAAGTATCTGTTTGATATATTGTAATTGAAATTTTGTGAAAAATAATTTATGTAAAATAAATTACTTGAAAAGTGATTTACATAAAATAAATTATATTTTTTCTGAAAAATAATTTATGAAAATAATTTTATGGTGTTTGGATGATACATCATGTTGTGTAAATCATTTTTCACGGTTGATAAATTTTCATAAAAATTATTTATTATAAATATCAAATATAATAAATAATATTATTTGTTATAAAACATTGATATTATTATTTCTAATTATTAGATTAATTTAGTCAATACTAATATTAAAAATTATTTTTTATAATCTTACAAGAAAAAACATTGAGAATAATATACTTTATTAAAATAATAATAGTAATTATTTACTGAAATAATAATATTACATTAAAATTATTAATAAATATACTTTAAATATTTTCATAATTGATATATTAATTAAAATAATATTATAATACTACATTAATATTTTATAGAAATATTATATTAATATTAAAATATTATTTTTTTATATAAGAGAAAGGCTAAAACAGCATATCAACCACTAGTGCGTGTGAATGGAGAATTTAAATATTCTAAAATATTATAATAGTCCGTTTTTTAATTTAAATATTAGTAATTTTATTAATTTTTAAATTAAATAAAATTATAAATTATATAAATGGTCTCCCGACTATATAGTATTACTTTGTTGAGTCACCGACTAGTAAAAGTTATAAAATGGTTCCAGTTTATACGTGTCATAACCGTTATTCGCCCGGAGGGGGAAAGACTAATATCGACTCGGGGTTTTTCTCTTTGAAAAGGTTTTAGAAATATGATGAGTCGCCACCAATCATTTGAGATGCGATTGGAACACAAAAAAACCGGATGATTTTAATAAAATATTTTGTTTTTATCAAAATATCGAGTTTTGAGGTATGCGAAAATTCAGAAACCAGGTTCGGGAGTCAGTTACGCGTGGGGAAGGATTAGCACCCCTACAAGCGCCCAAATATTGGTACCTAGTTGATTACCCTATATTTAAAAATTAGAAATTTGGAGTTCGATCTTTATTTAATTTAAAAATCATTCATGATGCAGTTGAAAATGATATTCGTTTATCGAGACCGATAGCATTCACCTCAAAACGTAAATGCGGAAGATCAACTATTGTGCCTAATAACCGAATATTACCTCATTTTTAGAAAATATGATGTGGTTTTGAAAAGGATGTCGACTTATTCAAAGAATTACTAGTAGTCACCCCCTGAGCACGATCGCGGGAGATATACTATTAATTTCTTAATAAGTGAACAGTGCCTTATATTTGTAAAAACAATGCAATCAAACAAAATTTTATTTGTCCTAATTAAACTAAAAGTAAATTAATGTTTTTTCTAACTTAAAGTGTCAAATTATGAAAATTAAAGAACCTAGGGGCTCAAATCTAAAATGTAAATTCTAGTATTAATACTTAATGCTATATATTAAAATTGATTGAATTTTCACGTATTAGAAAGTTTCTTTTAATAATTTTAAAATGATCGAATATTACCCTTAGTCAATTTATTTTGATTCGAGTTAAGTGATCATGTATTTTACCAAAAAATGATGTCATGCAACTGAACGTAATCTAGTGATACATTCACCTACGTCATAAATATTAAAAGATAAAATATATGCATTATTTAAAATACAAACCATACATATTTTATATGCAAAACATAACACATAATATAGTACACCACAACTAAAATGTTGATTAGTATGAGCGGAAAAAAATAATAATATAAACACAAGTATGACATGTTTACGTAATATATATGTAAATACAATCAAAATATAAGATAATATATTAATAAACAAATTAAATTCAAAGAGGGATGAAACGAGAGTAATTTAGTTTATTTACAAAATAAAATATTTAATATTAATAATGGTTATTCATGAATTAATAATGTAACATGCATGTTTTGAGAAATTATTTACAAAATAAAGATACATACCAAATCTAATGAATATATAAAAAAATTGAAAAGGAAAAGGAAAAGGAAAATTAAAATTAAATATATGTAATAAAAATTTTAGTATTTGTGAACCAACATATTTATAGGATTGTACATACAACAACAACAACAAAACCCTATTCCCATATGCAATAGAGGTAAGGGGGAGGTAGGGTAGTATGTTAACCCCAACGTCAGGTTGGGAGCAGCTTCCGTGGAAGACCTCCGGCAGTCAGAAAATTAAAAATAAAGATAAAATACAATGCATGTATAAATAAATAAATAAATACATAGTTGAACAGTTTTCATATGTAGTCTACATATGCGTGTCTGTAATGGGAAATGATCCCTGCAAATAAATCCCTGCGTAAAAATCTCACCATATAGACAGAAACGTAAGTCCAGGCTAAATTTAAAAAGATGAAACCTGAAGAGAAGGTTACACAGTAGTTAGAGATAGCAAGTTATGAGAAGGAATAAAGTCAAATGGGTTAAAACCTAAACTAAGGCAACACTACTCCGATACCCTAATTCTAAGCCTTCATAAATTCCAATGACAGAAACGTATAAAAAGTAGAAGTCATGGAAATTACTACAAAGGCATTAAAAAGAAGACAAAGATACTACACCCTATTATTGTGACCTACACTACTCGGCTACCCTGGTCTTAAGTCTCCATACTTTCCTGTCAGAACTTAACATATATAACTTACACACATTAAATATAATACATAATAGGTAACAAAATTACATACCTTTCAACCTTAATACACGTTTTTATACCAATTAAAATAATAAAGATATTTAAAAAACAAGAATACATTATATGCATACTACCAATACTAAATAAGTACATAAAAAAACATAGTACGTATATACATGTAAATATACATCCAAAATTATGCACAAAATATATATGTTAACATACCAATGCTCATATATACATACTATTCATCGTTCATAAGATTTTGAAAATAAATGCATTTACATTCATATAATACGTATTTAAATAATTTAGGCACAAACAAACCCATGCATATATATTTGTATATAAACGTATTTAAAATGGACCACCAAGCCAAATGACAAACAAATGAAATAAATACACTTGCTGGATTAAAATGCAACTTAACCAAACGACAAGTACTGGAGCCAAAATAAACCCCAATCACACGTGAGATTAAAATACAAATTTCAAGAATGGGATGCCAGATGTGCGAATAAATTAAAACTTGAAATAAATGAGTCTAATGACTAAAGTGTAAAGCGCATAGAACTTAATGGCTAAATCAGAAATAAAAACAATATCAAATTAGGGACCAAAATGTATTCACAAACATTTACAGGAACTACACTAAAAATAACCCATCTAAGGCGCTGAAATTTAGAGGACTAAAACCTAATTTACCCTAAAGTTGTAATATATAACCTAATATTAAACTAAACCTAACCTAAACTTAAACTTCATCAGCCGTATTCATCACCCTCTCCACTCTCCCTTTCTTATTCATTTATGGCCGCCTCTCACTTTCACACTCAATACCCTCGGCAACTCCCTGTTAAACA